GGTGGACTGGATCACTTGATTGGCTGAATCATTTGATTGGTTGGATCACTTGATTGGCTGGATCACTTGATTGGCTGGATCGCTCTGCTTGGCTGGATCGTTCTGTTTGGTTAGATTACTTACTCGGCTGGATCACTTATTTGTCTGGATCACTTATTTGGCTGGATCACTTATTTGTCTGGATCACTTATTTGCCTGGATCACTTATTTGTCTGGATCACTTATTTGTCTGGATCTTTTTTTTTTTTTGTCTGGATCATTTTTTTGTCATTCCGGATAACTTATTTGTCTGGATCACTTATTTGTCTGGATCACTTATTTGTCTGGATCTTTTATTTGTCTGCATCACTTATTTGGCTTGATCATTTATTTGTCCGGATAACTTATTTGTCTGGATCACTTATTTGTCTGGATCACTTATTTGTCTGGATCTTTTTTTGTCTGGATCACTTATTTGTCCGGATCACTTATTTGTCTGGATCACTTATTTGGCTGGATCACTTATTTGTCTGGATCACTTATTTGTCTGGATCTTTTATTTGTCTGGATCACTTATTTGTCTGGATCACTTATTTGTCTGGATCACTTATTTGGCTGGATCACTTATTTGTCTGGATCACTTATTTGCCTGGATCACTTATTTGTCTGGATCACTTATTTGTCTGCATCACTTATTTGGCTTGATCATTTATTTGTCTGGATAACTTATTTGTCTGGATCAGTTATTTTTCTGGATCTTTTATTTGTCTGCATCACTTATTTGGCTTGATCATTTATTTGTCCGGTTAACTTATTTGTCTGGATCGCTTATTTGGCTGGATCACTTATTTGGCTGGATCGCTCTGTTTGGTTAGCCATGCACTAATTTCTATGCTGTGGTACCCCCTTCCCCATCCCCTCAACCCCTGTGTTACACCTCTAGGAAAGCAAAGACTAGTAATTCTGCATCCTACCAGGCATGCCATATGAGGTAACTAAGAATAGGGTTGGGCTTCGGGTTGGTTGCCGAATCCCGTAAAAATAAAATAGCTCAAAAAACAACCAACCACGGGCAGATTTGAAAGAGTAACACGTAACACCCAAGATGGTTAGGGGGGGGGGGGGGGGTGAGGGGTATGAGGCTCTTCTAATTTGAGATAGATGACAGGGTGCGGAAAAAGCTGAAAGGAACCCGAATCGCTAAAGCAGCTCTCTGCCTAGGATATCTCCAGAGTTAAAGCCCACGAAGAAGAAATCTAGAGAACAACACTAAAAAAGATGGCGAAGTCACAGGATGAGCTGCATGCAATAGCAAAGGGTAGAACCACCTGGCGTCAGTTGGTTGCGGGCCTATGTTCCATTTGGGGGATTAAGGGCGTAAGAAATAGTCTGTGTTTTTTTTTTTTTTTTACTTTACTGTCGTATGTGTTTCAGTGTGTGTCTCAAGATACCAACTTGACTGAAGTGCAGCCACAAATAATGGCTCTAGCCAATGCCGGACAGGTGAGAATCTATACAGTAATTGTTGTGTCATTCATATACAGCGTTTAGTTGTGTGAATAGTCGGCTCTGTGGCTAAGTCGATGCGAAAGCTCCGTAATGCCGGGGTGTCGGATTCGATCCCAGCTGCGGGCCATACGCCTAGCGTTGGTTTCGACAGTGGTATCAGGGGGTTGACAGTTCAGTAGGCAATGGCAAACTACTGGAGGTAAATTTGCCTAAGAGAAACCACACAACAGCCAGGTGCTGCTGGGGCTGGTTCTGCAACGTCCTGGATACCCAGCTAACGTAGTAGCATGAATGGGAATAAAGAATGAAAACGTGGACAAACATCGACAATTTCAGTTAAGTTGTAACAGACCCGCCCGTGTGAGCGTGTCCAACAGAGAAAGCTCGTCGTAATGGACTGATGTTTGACCCAACCAGGACATCACACTGAGCGATAAACACCCAGTGATACAAAGTGCCACAATTCGGATAAGGATTACCCGTGGAGAGGTCCCAAAAACCCCGTTCAACCGTTAGGTTAATTAGGGCCCCCCGGCAACAACCAAGGTGAAGAATTTAAAAAAACGAAACATTTGTCCGGCATGAGGAATTGAGACTGAGCTCGCCGTGTGTGTGTGTCTGTGTGTAATGGGTGGGTGGGTGTGTAGGTGGGTGGGGGATGTGTGGGTGGGTGAGTGGGTGGGTTGGGGATGTGTGGGTGGGTGAGTGGGTGGGTATGTGTGTGTAGGTATGTGTGGGTGGGGAATGTGTGGGTGGGTGTGTGAGTGGATGGATGTGTGGGTGGGTGGGGGAATGTGTGGGTGGGTGGGGGAATGTGTGGGTGGGTGTGTGAGTGGGTGGGTGTGCTGAAATATTTAATTAAGTATCTTGTGTCGGCAGCCTTCGGCACCACGTAATACGGGAAATTACAAGGGGATGATCATGTTTGTATCCTATTAATGGAGAAGTAATAACGAGCACATAAACTAGGCACATTCAAAGCTCCGCGTATCTGCGCTGAACATGTGGAGTATTTATTTATTTATTTATTCAATACAGAAAGGAAACACAAACATAAATACATAAGGAGGTGGAGAACATGTTTCAGGGTGCCTGCTAATTGCATACTCCCATTCCCCATACGGGCTCCGCGGCCCATTTGTGGGGAAACTAGAATAGACCCACTTTACAAGCATGTCATAAGAGTCGATTAATTAGTTATGCTTCCTTCGAAGCCGGAGTGCATCCATCTGAAAGACGAGGAACGAACAGTCTGCAGGCGAATAAACCAGATCTGTAAAACTGGTGTGCACCCAAAACGCAGGTTCTGGAACAGGACTACAGTCTAAAAGCTGGAGTTTACAGTAGGTAAACGCTTCCATAATAAACTGATTTTGGCGGTATATATTATGTGTGGCACGATCACCCACAGTCTTTGGGGTTGTCCTAAGAGTCTAATGATAGAAATAGAGGATAACAATTATTGAACTGGATCGAAGCTTGGCGTGTGCGAGGATAATTAGTGTCAGTACAACTGAGTGGAAGTACGGTGAAAAGAATTGCACCCAAGAGACTGCATATTTGTGCTTTCTGTGTTTCATTTGCGTTGACACATGAGCGGAAGCAAACTAGGGTATATTGCTGTCAGTACAGTTGCCAGTCATAAGACATTCTGGCACCCATAGTGACTGTTGATAAACATCTGCTACCCCCTAATCTTAAACTGTTAGAATTGAAAATAGTTTGTTTTATTAAATTGGTTTTTATTCAAATCAGCTCGTGGATTTCTTCAATATTTTAAACACACTGCTGCTGTCTGTATTTCTCTTATGTCTGTACATTTTAGTTTTTATATTTTTTTAAGGAGCGGCCTGACAACCTTAACCAAGTGGATACAGCTCAAGATGGGAGCTGGCTGGGCTTTGTACCCAAGGAAATTAGGAAGTTTGTAGACTTTCTGTACAACCAAGGCTCCGCCAAGGTCTGCTATGTAAAGTCATGTCTTAAAGATTAATTTACTGTTGAATCTAAAATTATAACCAGGTGTTATTACTTGTAGAAGCAGTTCAGTGGAAGTCAGAATGAAATAAACTGGCGTTGCAGAGGTTAAACAAATAAATACAAATAAAGGTAAAAAATAACACACATCTTTGGTTATGGTCTCAAATTCCCTGTCAATATGCACAGCATCACACTATAGATTTCTTCATTTATAAAACAAACAGAAAAGTAAGTATTTTATGAGGCCACTACAGACTAGAAACAAAACAAAATACTTACTTTTCTGTGTTTTACAAGTGTAGAAATGTTGAAGTTTTATTAATATTATTTTTTCAGACAGTTTTAAAAGGGAATATATTTAATGGTTTGAGAGTGCAGACAGTTCTGCACTCTTAAATGTTTATCCTGCTAGAACTGTCTGCACTCTTAAACCATTAAATGTTTTCCCTGTTAGAGTTGTCTGCACTCTCAAACCATTAAATGTATTCCCTGTTATAACTGTCTGCACTCTCAAACCATTAAGTGTATTCTCCGTCGTAACTCTAATCCCCTCATGTATTCCCTGTCAAAACTGTCTGCACTCTAATCCCCTCATGTATTCCCTGTCAGACTTGTCTTCGCTCAAATCATCTAATCTATTTCCTGTCTGAACTGTCTCTACACTCTAATCTTCTTTTGTATTCCTTGTCCACAACGCCTCTTTTCCCTGATGGTCTCAATATCTGTTTCTTTTACTGCAGCCACAATGTTTAGAAGCGGGACCTTGCACTCCAGACAACCACCAAAGATAAAGTGTCATCTCTGTCGAACAAAGATGATAAAGGAGGAAGCTAGAGTTACATCTTTCATGAATCTCTTCATTTCATGACATAGAACTGTCAGTGCATGTCAACCTGGACAAATGCAGTTCTTATTATGGTGTTTTTAGTTTCAGAATTTGTGCATTCTTTTTAAGTTTTACGTGACATTATAATAGTGCATTTACTTTTCAATGGTTTTGTTTATTTTGCTTTAACATACTTACATTTTTCATTACATCAAATTTGCTAAAACTGATTAATACTGTTTTGATTACTCATATTTTTCCCCAGTCTGTGGCTGTTGCTTGCGTCTCTGATTTGACTGATTCCATTAGGAAATGATTCTCATGAATGTCACTTGCTGTCTCAGACTTAATCACAACACTTTCTCGGCCTGTCTAAACGACTAGGCCTAATTTTATTCACAACTACACAACCATCTAGGCATACATCCCCACATAGAAACACACACATGCACACACCAGCTGCCACAAAAGCATATACAAAAGAATGGACGTTGCATAGCTCTCTTTATTATCTGAGAGAGAGATTAAGCGTGTATCTTCCTGGTGGTTGAGTGTCTGTGTCTCACTAGTGGTTAAGTGTGTCAGTATCTCACTAGTGGTTGAGTGTGTCAGTATTTCACTAGTGGTTAAGTGTGTCAGTATCACACTAGTTTAAGTGTGTCAGTATATCACTAGGTTATGTTTGAGTGTGTCAGTATTTCACTAGTGGTTAAGTGTGTCAGTATTTCACTACTGGTTAAGTGTGTCAGTATTTCACTACTGGTTAAGTGTGTCAGTATCTCACTAGTGGTTAAGTGTGTCAGTATCTCACTAGTGGTTAAGTGTGTCAGTATCTCACTAGTGGTTAAGTGTGTCAGTATCTCACTAGTGGTTAAGTGTGTCAGTATCTCACTAGTGGTTAAGTGTGTGAGTATCTCACTAGTGGTTAAGTGTGTCAGTATATCAATAGTGGTTAAGTGTATGAGTATATCACTAGTGGTTACGTGTGTGAGTATATCACTAATGGTTAAGTGTGAGTAATTTCACTAATGGTTGAGTGTATGAGTATATCACTAGTGGTTAAGTGTGTGAGTATATCACTAGTGTTAATGTGTGTGAGTATATCACTAATGGTTAAGTGTAAGTAATATATCACTAGTGGTTAAGTGTATGAGTATATCACTAGTGGTTAAGTGTGTGAGTATATCACTAGTGGTTAAGTGTATGAGTATATCACTAGTGGTTAAGTGTGTCAGTATATCACTAGTGGTTAAGTGTATGAGTATATCACTAGTGGTTAAGTGTGTGAGTATATCACTAGTGGTTAAGTGTATGAGTATATCACTAGTGGTTAAGTGTGTCAGTATATCACTAGTGTATGTTATCACTAGTGGTTAAGTGTGTGAGTATATCACTAATGGTTAAGTGTAGTATATCACTAGTGGTTAAGTGTATGAGTATATCACTAGTGGTTAAGTGTATGAGTATATCACTAGTGGTTAAGTGTATGAGTATATCACTAGTGGTTAAGTGTGTCAGTGTATCACTAGTGGTTAAGTGTATGAGTATATCACTAGTGGTTAAGTGTGTGAGTATATCACTACTAGTGGTGAGTAAGTATATCACTAGTGGTTAAGTGTTTGAGTATATCACTAGTGGTTAAGTGTGTCAGTATATCACTAGTGGTTAAGTGTGTGTCAGTATCTCAGTAGTGTATCACTAGTGGTTAAGTGTGTCAGTATATCACTAGTTAAGGTGTCAGTAATCACTATTGGTTAAGTGTGTCAGTATATCACTAGTGGTTAAGTGTGTCAGTATATCACTAGTGGTTTAGTGTTAAGTATATCACTAGTGGTGTAAGTGTGTCAGTATATCACTAGTGGTTAAGTTTCAGTATGTCACTTAATCTCACTATGCAATATCACTAGTGGTTAGTATCTGACTAGTGAAGAGTGTGAGTATCTGACTGGTGGTCATGTTTGTGAGTATTTGACTAGTAGTAAAGTGAGTGAGAAAATCACTAGTGGTTCCGTGTGTGTGTTTCTCACTTACCAGAGGTGTGTGTGCGTGTATCATTATAGCTTAAATGTGTCAGTATCTCACTAGTAGTTAAGTGTGTGATTATCTTTATAGTGGTTCAGTGTGTGACTATCTCACTAGTGGTTAAGTGTGTGATTATCTCACTAGTGGTTAAGTGTGTGATTATCTTTATAGTGGTTCAGTGTGTGACTATCTCACTAGTGGTTAAGTGTGTGATTATCTCACTAGTGGTTAAGTGTGTGATTATCTCACTAGTGGTTAAGTTTGTGACTATCTCACTAGTGGTTAAGTGTGCGAGTATTTCACTAGTGGTTCAGTGTGTGATTATCTCACTAGTGGTTAAGTGTGTGATTATCTCACTAGTGGTTAAGTTTGTGACTATCTCACTAGTGGTTAAGTGTGCGAGTATTTCACTAGTGGTTAAGTTTGTGACTATTTCACTAGTGGTTAAATGCTTGATTATCTCACTAGTGGTTAAGTGTGTGAGTACCTCACTAGTAGTTAAGTGTATATCTCACTAGTGGTTAAGTGTGTGAGTATCTCACTAGTGGGTAAGTGTGTATCTCACTAGTGGGTAAGTGTGTATCTCACTAGTGGTTTAGTGTGTGAGTATCTCACTAGTGGTTTAGTGTGTGAGTATCTCACTAGTGGTTAAGTGTATGATTATCTCACTAATGTTTAAGTGTGTGAGTATCTCACTAGTGGGTAAGTGTGTATCTCACTAGTGGTTTAGTGTGTGAGTATCTCACTAGTGGGTAAGTGTGTATCTCACTAGTGGTTTAGTGTGTGAGTATCTCACTAGTGGGTAAGTGAGTATCTCACTAGTGGTTTAGTGTGTGAGTATCTCACTAGTGGGTAAGTGTGTATCTCACTAGTGGTTTAGTGTGTGAGTATCTCACTAGTGGTTAAGTGTATGATTATCTCACTAATGTTTAAGTGTGTGAGTATCTCACTAGTGGGTAAGTGTGTATCTCACTAGTGGTTAAGTGTGTATCTCACTAGTGGTTTAGTGTGTGAGTATCTCACTAGTGGTTTAGTGTGTGAGTATCTCACTAGTGGTTAAGTGTATGATTATCTCACAAGTGATTAAGTGTGTAAGTATCTCACTAGTGATTAAGTGTGTAAGTATCTCACTAGTGATTTAGTGTTTTATTATCTCACTAGTGGTTGTCTGAGTATCTCATTAGTTGTTAAGTGTGGGAATATCGCACTATTAGGAGAGTTTGTGCGTCACTAGAGGTTAGGCGAGTGAGAATCTCACTAATGTGTAAGTGTCTGATCATGTGGGTATGTGTATAAATATCTCACTAGATGTTAAGTCTATAAATATTTCACTAGATATTATGTGTATAAATATCTCTTATGGATTGGAAAAAAATTATAGCAGAAGGTACCAGAAAGAAGTGGCAGGGGCCGACCGACACAAAGATGGACACAGGATGTAAGTGACTCCTTGAGTATGAAAGTACATGAGGCGGTGGAGCTGGCGAGATACCGAGTCTCTTTGAGGTAGACTGTGAAGAGAACGACGTTCTGTAAAGGACCAGCTATATGATGGATGGTTATGTGCATAAATATCTCACTTGTGGTTGGTTATGTGTATAAATATCTCACTAGTGGTTGATTATGTGCATAAATATCTCACTAGTGGTTGGTTATGTGCATAAATATCTCACTAGAAGTTGGTTATGTGTATAAATATCTCACTAGTGGTTGGTTATATGCATAAAGATCTCACTAGTGGTTGGTTATGTGCATAAATATCTCACTAGTGGTTGGTTATGTGCATAAATATCTCACTAGTGGTTGGTTATGTGTATAAATATCTCACTAGTGGTTGGTTATGTGTATAAATATCTCACTAGTGGTTGGTTATGTGCATAAATATCTCACTAGTGGTTGGTTATGTGCATAAATATCTCACTAGAAGTTGGTTATGTGTATAAATATCTCACTAGTGGTTGGTTATATGCATAAAGATCTCACTAGTGGTTGGTTATGTGCATAAATATCTCACTAGTGGTTGGTTATGTGCATAAATATCTCACTAGTGGTTGGTTATGTGTATAAATATCTCACTAGTGGTTGGTTATGTGTATAAATATCTCACTAGTGGTTGGTTATGTGTATAAATATCTCACTAGTGGTTGGTTATGTGCATAAATATCTCACTAGTGGTTGATTATGTGTATAAATATCTCACTAGTGGTTGGTTATATGCATAAAGATCTCACTAGTGGTTGGTTATGTGCATAAATATCTCACTAGTGGTTGGTTATGTGCATAAATATCTCACTAGTGGTTGGTTATGTGTATAAATATCTCACTAGTGGTTGGTTATGTGTATAAATATCTCACTAGTGGTTGGTTATGTGTATAAATATCTCACTAGTGGTTGGTTATGTGTATAAATATCTCACTAGTGGTTGGTTATGTGTATAAATATCTCACTAGTGGTTGGTTATGTGCATAAATATCTCACTAGTGGTTCGTTATGTGCATAAATATCTCACTAGTGGTTGGTTATGTGCATAAATATCTCACTAGTGGTTGGTTATGTGCATAAATATCTCACTAGTGGTTGGTTATGTGTATAAATATCTCACTAGTGGTTGGTTATGTGCATAAATATATCAATAGTGGTTGGTTATGTGCATAAATATTTCACTAGTGGTTGGTTATGTGCATAAATATCTCACTAGTGATTGGTTATGTGTATAAATATCTCACTAGTGGTTATGTGTTTTATTATCTAACTAGCCAAAGTGTGTGTTAGTTTCTCATTAGTGGTTAAGTGTGGGAAAATCTCACTAACAAAGGTGTTTGTTTCTCACTTGTAATTATTTGTGTGAGTGTCTCACTATCGGTTAAGTGAGGGATTATCTCACTGGTGGTGAGTTGAGTAAGTATCTGACTAGTTTAGTGTGTGAATGTCTTACTAGTGGTTGGCGAGTGAGTATCTCACTTGTGGTTAAGTGTTTGAGTATCTTACTGGTGGTTAAGTGTGTGAGTATCTCACTGGTGGTTAAGTGCGTGAGTATCTCACTGGTGGTTAAGTGTGTGAGTATCTCACTAGTGGTTAAGTGTGTGAGTATCTCACTGGTGGTTAAGTGTGTGAGTATCTCACTGGTGGTTAAGTGTGTGAGTATCTCACTAGTGGTTAAGTGTGTGAGTATCTCACTAGTGGTTAAGTGTGTGAGTATCTCACTTGTGGTTAAGTGTGTGAGTATCTCACTTGTGGTTAAGTGTGTGAGTATCTCACTTGTGTGTGTGAGTATCTCACTTGTGGTTAAGTGTGTGAGTATCTCACTTGTGGTTAAGTGTGTGAGTATCTCACTTGTGGTTAAGTGTGTGAGTATCTCACTTGTGGTTAAGTGTGTGAGTATCTCACTTGTGGTTAAGTGTGTGAGTATCTCACTGGTGGTTAAGTGTGTGAGTATCTCACTGGTGGTTAAGTGTGTGAGTATCTCACTGGTGGTTAAGTGCGTGAGTATCTCACTGGTGGTTAAGTGTGTGAGTATCTCACTGGTGGTTAAGTGTGTGAGTATCTCACTTGTGGTTAAGTGTGTGAGTATCTCACTTGTGGTTAAGTGTGTGAGTATCTCACTTGTGGTTAAGTGTGTGAGTATCTCACTGGTGGTTAAGTGTGTGTGAGTATCTCACTAGTGGTTAAGTGTGTGAGTATCTCACTTGTTTAAGTGTGTGAGTATCTCACTGTGGTTAAGTGTGTGAGTAAGTGTGTGTGTGAGTATCTCACTGGTGGTTAAGTGTATCTGAGTGTGTGATCTCACTAGTGGTTAAGTGTGTGAGTATCTCACTAGTGGTTAAGTGTGTGAGTATCTCACTAGTGGTTAAGTGTGTGAGTATCTCACTAGTGGTTAAGTGTGTGAGTATCTCACTAGTGGTTAAGTGTGTGAGTATCTCACTAGTTGTTAAGTGTGTGAGTATCTCACTAGTGGTTAAGTGTGTGAGTATCTCACTGGTGGTTAAGTGTGTGAGTATCTCACTGGTGGTTAAGTGTGTGAGTATCTCACTGGTGGTTAAGTGCGTGAGTATCTCACTGGTGGTTAAGTGTGTGAGTATCTCACTGGTGGTTAAGTGTGTGAGTATCTCACTAGTGGTTAAGTGTGTGAGTATCTCACTGGTGGTTAAGTGTGTCAGTATCTCACTGGTGGTTAAGTGTGTGAGTATCTCACTAGTGGTTAAGTGTGTGAGTATCTCACTGGTGGTTAAGTGTGTGAGTATCTCACTGGTGGTTAAGTGTGTGAGTATCTCACTAGTGGTTAAGTGTGTGAGTATCTCTTGTGGTTAAGTGTGTGACTAGTGGTTAAGTGTGTGAGTATCTCACTAGTGGTTAAGTGTGTGAGTATCTCACTAGTGGTTAAGTGTGTGAGTATCTCACTAGTGGTTAAGTGTGTGAGTATCTCACTAGTGGTTAAGTGTGTGAGTATCTCACTAGTGGTTAAGTGTGTGAGTATCTCACTGGTGGTTAAGTGTGTGAGTATCTCACTGGTGGTTAAGTGTGTGAGTATCTCACTGGTGGTTAAGTGTGTGAGTATCTCACTAGTGGTTAAATGTATGAGTATCTCACTAGTTGTTAAGTGTCCGTATCTCACTGGTGGTTATTAGTGTGATTTTCTCACTAGCAGCGGAGTATGTGAGTATCTCACTAGTGGTCGAGTGTGTGAGTATCTCACTAGTTATTAAGTGTGTGTGTATCTTACTTGTAGTTGAGTGCATGTATCTTACTAGTGGTCGAGTGTGTGAGTATGTCACTAGTTATTAAGTGTGTGTGTGTATCTCACTAGTGGTTGAGTGTGTGAGTATGTCACTAGTTATTAAGTGTGTGTGTGTATCTCACTAGTGGTCGAGTGTGTGAGTATGTCACTAGTTATTAAGTGTGTGTGTGTATCTCACTAGTGGTTGAGTGTGTGAGTATGTCACTAGTTATTAAGTGTGTGTGTGTATCTCACTAGTGGTCGAGTGTGTGAGTATGTCACTAGTTATTAAGTGTGTGTGTGTATCTCACTAGTGGTCGAGTGTGTGAGTATGTCACTAGTTATTAAGTGTGTGTGTGTATCTCACTAGTGGTTGAGTGTGTGAGTATGTCACTAGTTATTAAATGTGTGTGTATCTCACTAGTGGTTGAGTGTGTGTATCTCACTAGTGTTTGAGTGTGTGAGTATGTCACTATTTATTAAGTGTGTGTGATGTAATGTAAACTTTAAGACTAAGTAAAACAACAAACACACAATCTATCTTCTGTTTTGCCTAAACCTTCTACATTGTCGAATTGTGATTGTTTCTTGCATTTCGCTTCTAATCAGAGTTTATATTGAATGTTTACAATTACACAGACACAAATCATATGTGATTTCCTATTTTTATTGTTCAATAAAATTTTTTATATTCATAGCTGTGTAAGATTGTTTTTTTTTTTTTTTTTTGGTTGCTTTCCATGTTTTCAGATTTCAGTAAGATTCCACTTACGTTGAGAAAATAATTAGTTAGTTAGTTAGTTAGTTAGTTGGGTTATCGTCATTGCACTCCGGACATAGGTCCATAGGTGCTCAGATCCTCCCCTCAGTATGAACCCCAACGTCCGATGGCTAATAGTACCAGTTCTATGTTGATTAACAAGTCTTCTGACGTGTCCGGTGTGCGTCTCGTTTTTTGCTGTGCCGATCTTAATTCCCAAGTCTGCCATTCTGGCGAGTGATGTGGATTCACTGCCACCAAAGTCCTCTATCCTTCCCATTTCTCTGAGGGCATTGATAATATCAGCATGATCCATAGGCCGACCGTCGGTAGTGATAGCGGATCCAGCCAACCTGTCAGCTCTTTCATTTCCATCGACGCCTGCGTGTCCCGGAACAAAAATAAAGGTGACTCCACGCACAGTGGACTTCTGTAATGATTCAAGCCATTGTCTTCGCACTGAACCTGCCTGAACCCTCCGGATCATACTCATTGAATCACTGAGTATACAGATGCGGGTGTATTTTTGTGTTTCAAGCCAGGCAAACGCTTGCGTCACTGCCATCACCTCCATCGTCATGCTGCTGGTTGTCATGGAGAAGGCACCGTTGGCTTCTTTGACTGTTCTGCCCGCTGAGCGTGCTGTAAATGCCCATGCGCTTCTTCTTTGGCGTATAACGGATCCGTCTGTGTAGATTAGTGCATCTGCTTCGTCTGAATTTTCACCGATGAGAGCGTTGACCTCTGCATTAACAGCAACAGGATTCTCTTCTCTACATCGCCTGTTGAGTGTGACAATACAGGAAAATGTACAAATAAACGCCTGAGGCACAGGTATCCATTCTGCACCAGGTATGATGTCGGTTAGGCTGCATATTTGCCTAATAACATCTTCTGCCCGACCTAGCCACGATTTTCCCCTCTTCAGTCTGTCGCCCTTTTCACTAAAAAGCGCTTGATGCAGTGGGTGTTTCTTATCAGCACATATTTTGAGAAAAATAATGTGATATTTTAGAATGTGGTTTTTTTTTAATGCACGTGAGGCGTGCACACTTGAATGGATAGCTGATTAAATAGTCGGCGGTTAAATAAAGAGACTTGGTTCAATGCTGCAGTCTTTGCCTACGATGTTTACGAAGGATTTCAAATGAAAGAAGAGACATGTGCGGCAGCGGTCGACTTAGAAGATGCCTACAATAAAGTACCATAAGAATATCTAATGCACTTACTGCTTAAACTAGAAGTAAACCCTATTCTGAACTGCTGGATTGCTGCGGCCCTGTTCCAGAGAAAGGTAGTACGCAGATGTGGTAGCTGGTCCTCAGAACCGCTAATAATATGCCCAGGCTTACCACAGTGATCACGGCTTTCATCAGTTTTGTTCAATGTATTTACGGTGATGATTACTGAGCAGCAGTTGAATGAAAGGGAAGAACTTTGTCATTTGTTGATGACATTTTGATACATCGACCAGGACGCGACAGACAGGAGATCGCCAGCACAATGCACAACGAACTGGATCGAATTGCCACCTGGTGTGATGGTTCCAATGCCTACGTTAATCCTCAAAAAGCATCAGTGTCATGGTTCTCTTTGAACAATCACATTGTCAAGTCAGACTTACCAGAAGTGAAAATGGGTGATAGTGTGTTGACCAGAACCAAGGTGATGACATATCTCGGGATGAGGTTTGATAGCAGCTTGTCATTTAAGAAACATGTTGACAATGTGATAACAAAAGCTCGCAGTGAGGGAAATGGCTGCTTTCAAAATAGAGCAAAGACTAATAATACTTCTTTCTTTTCTACGAGCTAGTCCTTTCCCCCATTAAATATGCTCTGGCCATCCTCATTGTCAGTGTAACACAGACCGAATGACTTGAAAATGTGCATTATGAAGCCAAGCGAATTATTTTGGGATGTACAAGAGGCACTTCCTGTTTAGCAATGAGATATCTACTTGACTTCCCAACCATGAATCAAAGAATCACAATCGAGAGGGCTCGGGCGTACACTAAAACATGCGCCACTAAGAAACACCCACTTCATCAAGCGCTTTTCAGTGAAAAGGGCGACAGGCTGAAGAGGGGGAAATCGTGGCTAGGCCGGGCAGAAGATGTTATCAAGCAAATATGCAGCCTGACCGACACTACCCCTACTTCAGAGTAGATACCCGTGCCTAATGCGTTTCTTTCTAAGTTTTCCTGTATTGCCAGACTCGACAGGCAATGCAGGGAGCAGAATCCTATTGCTGCCAATGCAAAGGTCAACGCTCTCATCGGTGAAAATGCAGACGTACTAATCTAAAACTTCTTCTTCTTCTTCTTCTTCTTCTTCTCTTCAGCCTTGTACCTCCTCGAAGTGTCGGGGGTAGATGTAATGTTCGTTGATGGGCTCTGTCAAGAACACTATTAAGACTGATGTTCATTTCTTTAAGGCTGTTCTTAATGCCATCACTCTATATTCTCCGAGGCCTTCCACTCGCTCTATACCCGTTGTAACGTTTTAGTGTGGCTCGCTGTAACAGATAGTACCAGTGCATTCTTGTTTGGTGTCCAAACCACTTCATTTGTTGTTCTTTGATGACCTGTAAAACTGGCTTTATTCCTAGCATTCGTCTGATTTCATGATTTCGTATTCTGTCTTTCCTTGAAACTCCTGCAGCTCTTCTAAGGTATTTCATCTCTGTTGTCACAATTTTACGTTCATTGGAGGATGTAAGTGTCCACGTTTGGCATTGATAGCATAGTGTTGGCCAAAAAATAGTTCTGACAAGATTCACTTTAGTACTCCGAGGTATCTCCTTGTGTGTCAACAGGGGAGATAGTTGACCCATTACTTGATTAGCTTTGGCACATCTGGAGCTAATTTCTCTGTCCAGTTTTCCGTCAGATGTAAAAATTGCTCCCAAATCCTTAAATTCTTCTGTTTGTCTCAAGATGTTGTTTTTTAATTTAATTTCTAAATTGTCTTTATGACTTCTTATCATCACTGTCTTTGTCTTCAAAGTGTTTATTTTCATATTATATTCCTCCCCTTTGTTACTAATTTGATTTATTTGGTTCTGTAGGCATTCCGTATTTTCTGCTATGAGTCCCTGGTCGTCGGCGAAGAGTAATTCTGTAATATCTTCTTCATGATTAAAGTCTGTTTCGCTACATATGGCGTCCATGTATGTTATAAAAAGAAGCTGTGGTAGTACACAGCCCTGACGCACACCAGAGTTCACTATAAAAGTTCTTGACATCCCTGCCTTCGATCTTATGCAGCATTTACTACGTGTGTACAGGCTTTTGCAAATAATAATGAGATGATTGCTGATTCCTTTTTCCCCCATACATTCCCACAACGTATTCCTGTCGATTCTATCGAAGGCTTTTTCATGGTCTATGATGTCAACAAACATGTCTTATCATGTTCTATTGCCCTCTCTGATAGTTGTCTCAGTGTATAAATGGCATCTGCGTAACTTCTGTTTCGTCGAAAGACCATCTGTGCTTCTGAAAGTTTATACTCTATCAGTGGTCTCAGCCTTTTTTTCCATGATCTTAGCATACATTTTCCCAGTGTGACTGAGAAGAGATATTCCTCTGTAATTAGTACATTCCCTCTTACTTCCTTTATTTTTCCACAGCGGGACATTGACAGCAGTCTGCCAATCTGATGGTGTTTCTTGATTTTCCCATGCCACCTGAAATATTCTCTTTAACCATATTGCTCCGGTTTCTCCTGCTGCCTTGATGGCCTCAGCTGGTAGATCATCAATACCTGTCGCCTTTAGTCTAGGTGCGGTTCGAATGACATATTTTACTTCATCAATAATATAC